TGTAGAGGGGGCAATTGAGAAACCGTGGGGATGAAAGGGTGGGGGGGGGTGGATTGGAGGTAGAGGTTCACGAAGAGGAGGAGAAGAGAGGAGTGAATCCATGGCCATCCGGTGAAACCCTCAGGATCGTTATCCACTTGGGAATACCAACTGATCTTTGGGAGTTTTGGTCGTTAATACGAGGGTTACCTCGGGGATAGAATGAGTTTGATTCGAGAATAGTTAGTTGACGGGAAGGGAGAGGGGTGATTACTGGGTTATTTAATGACCGTTGCGGTGATTGAAAAGAAAAAAAAAAATTGAAGGGAATAGCGGTTGAACGGAGGTAAATGTAAGACAAATTGAGGGAAGTGGATGTGATCAGTTTAAATAACGAGGGCAATAGTAGGAATTGTCTCTGGTGGTGCATTTTTCATATCGTATTGACGTATTTGAAAGGAAAATAATTGGATGGAGGGAATTCTTACGCTGTATCTGTCGTATTTTATTGTTCATAAATGTCAAGTTGGAGAATTAATGATTTGGAGATGAAACGACCTCTGGAAATTTGATCACTGAGGGATGGTATGTGGACATGGGTCTTTCTATCACCCTGAAGTCATTAAGTGGATGGTTTTTTTTTTTCTTCTCTCAACCGATCGAGTTAACGCTGTAGTTTTTCTTTTTTATTTCTTTCTCACCACTTGAATATTGCCAACTCCTCGAGTTATCCGGTCGTATCGTTACCACCCTCTGAGTGAAGTGAAATTACCATGCAATAACGGCTGAGTTCACCGTCTGACCATACCCTTCACATGAGATTACAAAATAGGATAATGCATTCTCGTTTAAACTTCACTCAGCCAACTCACCCGCCCTCTCCAGACCGCTTCAACACTCCTAGAATATTTGGATCGATTTGCTGCATAATTCAATCTGAAATTAAGGTAGTGGTGGGAGGGGAGGAGGGTTAGCTGTAGTACAGGTGGAGTATATACCAAATGTAAACCACGGTCTGGCTATTCGTGGCTCGTTTAAATGTATTATTCAGGCCGTCCTTGACGGTGACTCTGGGAAGGGGTGGTGGGGCTGGAGGGGTCGTGAGATCAGGTGGAGAAATGGCATGAGATGATGACGGGCACAGGGGGGTGAACAAGAGGGGGTGGATAATCGAGTTCCGAATGAAGTTTGTGTCGGCACGTCTGTCCTCGGCTATGGATTTTACGTGATAAATATAAATGAGAATTTTCTAATTGTCTTATTTCACCGGGTGTCTTCCAGATTGTCATTATTAATTTTATTTGTTCTGTAATTGGAATTGTGTGGTCTGTTTGCAGAATCGAGAAAAAATGTGAAGGAAGCTCAAGTGATCAGATGCCCAACAAGGCGCGGCCTCGTCGTGAGTGGTCTCCAAAATCCCCCATAGATGTTTTGTAAGTAATTTTTTGATGATTTGGGGTTATTATGTATGGGATGTTGCAGAAAGTACTGGGAAATCGAGTTAGTGAGGAAATTCTTATAATTGTCTCGTGCTATGGAATTTAATAATTATCCCCGGGCTTGTATAGTTGAACAGAAACACTTGGATCTGCTAATCAAGCGTACCCCCAAGGCCACAGTCTCAGTAGTAGACGGAAAACCGTAATACAGATACACCGCTCGGCACCGCTGTAATTAACTAATTAAAGTTTCCGCATACGTGGTCGCAAAACGGCACGATTTCACCTCGAGGATAGCAAGCTCACTCAGTTCTAAGTTGCTTAATTTTCCTTTTTCTCGGTGTAGATATTAGTCAGAGTCATGAAGTTGTTTTTTATTTTTTATCCTCCCCCATAATTTCGAGGGAATTTCGATTTCGATTCGATATAAATGTCCATTTCCTTTTTAAATAGGATTGCTCAGAAAGTTCGATACGTTTCCCGGTCACGAAACATAATTTTCTGGTAATTCATTTTTTTCCCTCTTTTTTTCACAATTTTCTGCCGTCTTCCCTATGAGGCTACTTTCCGGTTATCCACAAAATTGCCATCGTTTCAAAAATCTAAAACCATTTGGTGCAAAAATGCCAAACGATTTTCCCCCTACCCCGGATAAAATTGCTCGGGTGGAGATCGAATCGTTCTGGGTTTCCCCTGCAATTGGCTTCGATTCCTTTTTTACCTCTTCCATCCCCCTCACCCCTTCTGTTCCTCATTTTACCGGAATAAAGAGGTTAAAAAAGAAGTGGGATCGTGTCTTGATGTTGAAAGTTGAACCGACAAAACCACGAGCTCTCAAAGACGAATATTCATTGGGGCGTGATGAACAAAAAGTTGGTGCTCTGCCAAAAAGCCGGTCAGGGAGATACTTGGCACTAAATTTTCTATTGGCCTGCGGTGTATACCCGTCAAAATGAATATTAACCCTCTTAAATATACATATTTATCCACATTACCCAAGTTATCAAAGCAACAATTGTTCACTACACAAACATCTGGTGGTGTACACCGAAAACCTCTCCAATGCCGAATTTTCATTTCACATTATTGAGAGCTTTCAGGAGAACCTCTATTTTTCATCGTACTGCTGCTGCATTAGTCGCATTTATCTATTCATGGTTTATGAATAGCTAAAAATACGCTATTCTACATGCAGAATCACAATATTTTGCGGGAACTCGAAAGGTCCTCCGTTACCCTCAATTTGCAAACAACTTCAGTACATTTGAAATATGTGCGGACTGAGTGATTCCTTGCCAGGACACCCAATGCAAACTTTCTTACTATCCATCTGACCCTCTTGTTATGCTCACTCTAGAATACAACTTGCATCCACTCCATAAACCCCTCCCCACCTCATCGTACTACACTCTCTCAACAACTTTAAAGTACCATCCATAAAGTACCTCCACACCGCCATCTTGCATCCGGTATTTCACCCAATACTAATTAACGAATTCTAATCGCTGACAACATATTCCATTAACAATTCACTCCAATTCGGTACTTTCCGCGTTTCTATCTGGTTAAAAGCCCCGCTGTAATATTCAAAGCGATTTCATCGGTCTCCCCGAGATGTAAAATTCATCATACGGTTGTAGTTTTAGTCGAATTAACATAGCTTCTATCATATCACCGGTGAAAATAGGGTGCATTAACAATTCACAACTTGAAAAGTCTCACGCAGGGATGAAAATTCTCTCGGAAAAGTTTCATCCACAAAGAGCAAAGACAAGCTATGGCTCTTAATCAATACCGGAGTTGTGATAGGATAAACTTTCAGTAAGAAAATTTGTTCCATGAATATATCAGAAACTATCCAACTGAAATCAGTTGTCCCCTGATTTATGGAGTAGGAAATGTCCACTAGATTTGGTGGTGCAACTTTTGCCCCACACCATACGCCCCGGGCGTGAAATTCGAAACAACCGGAAAACCCAATTTAATCATTCATGCTGATGTATCAGTACGATTGGTTGATAAAAAATGAATTTTATGATTTTTTATTGCAGGTGGATGCCCCGCTCCGCCATGAGGCCGGCCGAGGGCGACACGTCGGACTGCATTTTGGTTGTCGGTGTGTCACGTCCTAAAATGGCTGCTGCATTTCTATCAGTTGCCCTAGTATCACTCTTCCTGACATTTCACATACTCTATGACAGTGCAATCTACAGTATCCATGCAGCATCTGTTATAGAAAGTATGGATGATGTTGGTAATGAGCTTGATAATCATCAGCATCAACAATTACCAACGATTGTTATAACAAACAAAGTACATTTTTCACGTACAAATCGCCATTTACCACAAGCTATTATCGTTGGTGTACGTAAATGTGGTACACGAGCACTTCTAGAGATGCTGTTCCTCCATCCGCAGATACAAAAAGCAGCTGGTGAAGTGCATTTCTTTGATCGTGATGATAATTATGAGAAAGGGCTTGAGTGGTACAGGAAAAAAATGCCGTACTCTTTCAAAGGACAGCTAACCATCGAGAAGAGCCCGAGTTACTTCGTTACACCAGAGGTGAGTCAATGAAAAATGGCTATTCAACAATTAATTTTAATGTTTCGTATATTCCGGGGAGCAAGTCTCTTTCGCACACTCCATTCGATAGAAAATTCATCACAGAAGACTATTTTAACTCAACAATTATCCGACGCAATTTTTTTTATCGTCAATCATACTGGGCAGTCTTAGATAATCGCTTTTTAATTTCTTCATTTCACATCATCGACAGCTTTTAGAAACAATTTAATTTCTAATAATTCGACGCTTACACTCGGCACACTTAACAATTCACAATTAATGAATCATTGAAAATGACAAATCAGCCGGGTTTTTTTGAGGGAAAAGCATGAATTCCTTATCAATGATGAAGAAGTTCATGAAATTGGTCACTCAAATGCGCTTCCGTTTGATATCACCCGTCAGAATCACGTCATCATTCCGCGTTCAAATCACGTAGTTGCCAAATTCAAACTGAAAACGTATCCTTCCTTTATATAAAAATAAAAAAAAAGGTACCGGAGCGTATTCGTGCGATGAATTCAAGTGTCAAACTACTGCTGATCGTACGTGAACCAGTGACACGTGCGATATCAGACTATACCCAGCTGCGTACACACGCTGCGGCAGCAGCATCAACAGCAACAACGACAGTTGAGGGTAGTCAAAAGCCACCATCACAACCGCAACGTAGTTTCGAGGAACTTGTCATACGTCCTGATGGCACTATCAATGAGTCATATCGTCCAATAGCAATATCACTTTATCATAATTACATGCATCGATGGTTAGAAGTATTTTCACGCGAGCAAATACTTGTTGTTAATGGTGATCAGTTGATTGAGGATCCTGTACCGCAGCTACGTAGAATTGAGAATTTTCTCGGTATTGAGCCAAAAATTGGTAGGCACAATTTTTATTTCAATCATACCAAGGGTTTCTACTGTCTGAGAAATGAAACATCAGAAAAGTGTCTCAGAGAGAGCAAAGGCAGGAGACATCCGCGTGTTAGTCCAATTGTTGTTACCAAATTGAGAAAATTCTTCAATGAGCATAATCAGAGGTTCTATGAGCTAGTTGGTGAGGATCTTGGGTGGCCAGAGGAGTAGAGTTATGATTGAGAGATGGAGGCTGGTGGATCACATTGGTCCTTGACTCGATAGCAACTGATACATATCATAGGGTTAATAGTTGGATATTAAGAGATTTAATATTTTTATAAAGTCCACATTGGAAGTTGTTATATATCGTTGATTGATGTTTTCTTCTTTTGAATCGTGTGACTGAGAGAAAGGTTGAGCATTTTATTGGCGCATTTCGTTGACTTTTTTTTTTCTCATCATCATCATTTATTTCTCATTTAGCCAGTCAATTCATTATTGGGTAGTTTCACCGTAATGGGCCATTGACACCAATTCGTGCTCGTCGGGAGTAAAGAGCTCATCGATTGTGTGTCAACTGGCTAGTGAGGGTGAAATTCTCGTTGACCACTGCTCGTCAAACATCTTCCGTGTCTAACTATCGATGGGCACTGCCCACCGTTTGATAGATACGTGTCGACAAATTCTGTACACAAAGGAGTGAGCTTGACGCCTCTGTTACTGACTACACTAGGGGGTTTGCAAACAAACTCTGGTGTGTTGAAGGATTTCATTTGTCACGTGATCAAAGATTTACGTTGCTTTATTTATCATACTTGACAAGTAACACCTTCAACAAAGGCGCGGTATCGTTAATTACTTCTAACCTTGAAAAGTCGTCAAAGCCAATCCAAGGCAATATTTTCTGATAAACCAATCGTTTCTGATGCTATTACAAGTCAAGATCTTAGCTATTCATATTTTTCAAAAATGTCTTTCACATTCAAATGCGTCAATTGAATGCATATACTCTTCATGAATGAATTTTCGATGATATTCTGTATCCAAAATGTTAACCTCGAAGGGGTTTCACTCAACAAATGAATTAACGAGAAACCCCTGGGCTGAATCCGTAACAATTTCCCAAAATTTACATGTATACTTGAACCCTTCAGAGACAGACTTGAATATATACTGTTATTTCAACGTTACTAACGCCGTTGTAATCTCACGAATCGTATCCGGGGGGGTAAGTCTGTATTTGATCTTGGGCTGTGGGATTTAGTTATCCAGTGCTCGGGTATCTTGTCAAACGCTGATCGTTTCTCATCTATTATACATTCCACCAAGACCTTGTCCATTAATTAAAGGTGCATCATCAATATTTTTTTCACCCCCACGGAATTAGGTCGATAAAAAATGAATGAGCCAATCTCGACTGGGCCATCCATCATGGCTGCTCTAGGCGTTTCACCCTCATCAAGTTGATTTCAACCCTCTGACTCCCATTCGGAATTTTTACCTCTCTTTTCTCTAATCCCATGAACACGCCGATGCACTCTCGGCTTTTATCCCCTGTACCTGTTATAGTGAAACCACTCGGCACTTTGGTAAACTGTAGATGTGTGAACATGTGGTTACCCCACATCAGTCTGAAGTGCTCCTCGATATTATTATTTAATTAGTTTAGGTGTAGATTGAGGGATTAAAATCTTTTTGTCTCGGTGTTAGACTCGATGAGGGTTTCATTATCTCGTCAATTCGCCCGGATAATCAATAGTTTGATATATAACCGTAGGCTGGTGATATACTATATATAAATCACCTCGGGATACACCGGAAATCCCTCTCTCTCTTCAATTTAATTCATTATCTTTCCATAATCAGGTTGAATTGAGTTGGTCATTAATCACTGGGCTAAAAATTATGATGATCGGTAATGTGACAGAGCATCCGGAATTATTCCAGATTGAGAATACCCCGGGTATATCCTATATTTCATTCAACTCATTTCGATATCTATGATATACTGTTGGGTGCCCCCTTGAGCTTTTGACGTTCATCACTTGTGCCACAATTCACCTATCCCTCTTTCTCCAACACACATGACCCACCAGAGTCACAATTCAACTCGACATAGGACCAAAGTTATTTCTCGGGACTATGACGAACTGTTTGGACATTGTAATATCGATTTTTACGTCGACGCTTGTTAACAGTGACGAATTTATCTTGTCGCGTATCGCTTGTCTTCTTTCATATCTCGAGGCAGGGGCTGATATGTATTAATTTGGAAATGTCAAAGCTCGTATTTTATTGATTTTGGACAATTTATTTCCGGTGACGAGATTAGATCAATTAGTCAGGCAAATTGGGGGTGGAATTGTGCTTCACTCGTTAGAGAAGATCGATTGATTTTTGACCGAGTATTTTTACCTCTTTGGACCTTTTTATTTGGTTCATTCGGATTCATTAATTCTATCTAATCTAGAGCATTAAAATTTAATGTTAAAGAAGAAAAAGGGGATTGTACAAACGACCTGCTAGCATCTACCTGGCATACTATCGCATCATAGCCCATTCTTCTTCGTTTCTTTTGTATATATCTTTTGCCTCCCTTCTTGGTGGTGTTCACCTCGCGTGCATCTTCGCCTCTTCGCCACACTTCTCTTTTTTCACCCTCCTTCCCCAACCGCCCTCCCACCATCCCCCTTTTCACTGTCTTTTTTATTTCCATCTCTTTTTATTTCCATTATTCTTGGATGGTTGTTTTTTTCTTATTTCTATTCTTTGCGCTTCAACCGAGGCAACCTCCTTTTCTTTATCCAACACTGCCAGCGAAGCGTCTTGCAAAACTATGGCAATATCTCTACCTTCTGGCCTCGTATTTATATACACACCCAGACAAATTACATAATCTTAAAGTCCAGGAAAGTACCGTTAATACTGGGGGATAGGACGATGATGAAAAAAAAAAATCCTGGGAATTTATTTTACATTTACCTCCACCGCTTGGTAATCCCATTTTTTCAATTTTCTTTTCATTAACGCTTTTTATTTTTATTCTCGGAGATGTGGGTGTGAAAATATACGAGAAATCTTCAACAGCAATCATCTCCAATATTCAAAATGCCTGAAAATTCGGTAGCACCGGAGATTTTACATGTTCACATGTTCATTTTGGGGGAAAATCGAGTAAATTTCATGTTTTCGTGACATTTTATCACTTCATCGATCAAATCAATGATCTTCAAAATTTTTGATCTTTACTCAATGATTGACACCATTCACCTCCTAAAAATTGACATCCCCTAGTTCGGTCAAAATTTTCCAACAACCGAGACGCCTCCGGGCGCCATAATTCCTCCCCCATCATGATTCATAAATCAAATTGCGTGTAGCCTCAGCACCAAATAAAACACGGAAACCCCTTCGATGCATTCAACCCGCGCATAAAGCAGAATAAATCATCGAAAAAGTGAAACAAAAAATGAATGAATGATTGGAATGCTAACGACAAAACAAAGTGTAAACGAATACAGAAAACGTGGTATCAAAAATTGGTAAAAATCAAGGGATTGGGGTGAAAAATCATATCACAAAGTGGAATATTTATTTCCCTTGTTTTGTGCTGCTGATATTTTTACATTTCAGTCTTGAACATTCTTGTACGGGTGAAAATAAAAAAAAAAACGGGTGGGATGGAGAGGAATAAAATCACCAAAGAAAACCCAGAGGGTTGAAGTTTCCTCGGAACAACTCAGAGGTAGAAGAAAGAAAAATAGGGGGTTGGAAAGGGGTGAAAATAGGGGGGTTCTACCTGTATGTATACAGTGTCTGTTCTGGTGTCCCACGAGAACACCAACTGATTTATTTAGCGTGCGATGCCGCCGGCGACAATCACGAGTCCGGAGAGGGTGAAAAGAGTGAAATTTCTTGACTCTTAGGTTTTTTTTCGTTTTTCTCCCCCTTTTTTTTACCCTGTGGAAAGGATGAGGTAATGCCCGGTGTATATTCAGTACACTAGAGATTTTAATTTCCGAGTTGTGAAAGTGAGAGAGGGGAAATCAAAATTCCTTTCTTTTATATTTCACTTGACTCGCGTGGTTTTCTTCACGATTGCTCGGTGTCACTTATCTGTTAGGACTCAAAGGGATTGATTGTTTATTAATTCACTTGGTTAATTATTTCCATGAATAATGGGATAGATCTGAATGATGATTGCACCTATCCGTTGGTAGTTTTGAAAGGGAGATTTTTGGATTTAAAATTATTGTGAGCACCATCAAAATAATCATTCAGGAAAGTCTATGGAAGTGGGTCCTATGATTGAGAGGGTGTGAGTGGACGCGATTGAATGATTTTATTCGTGTAATCTAAGGTCTTCTAGGTGTAATTAAATGGTAATAATTATTCGTAAGTAATTAAATAAGAAAAGTGGGTTAAGATTGGAGAAAAACGCCATGCTAAAAAGAAAGTAACGATACATATCAAGAATTGCCTGACTAAGGTGAAAGATAAAATTATTTACTAGAGTACTTTAAGGTTATACATTTTTGTCACTGATACGTCTCGTATTCGAGATGTGACACCAAAAAAACATATCATTTTAATGATTATTAAATTAAATGTTGGAAAATCGTGATCAGAGCCAAAGATATACCTGTGAATATTCCTATCTTAAAATGGCGGATTATTCAGGTGTGATGGAAGATATTTGAGGCTCTCGAAAGCAAAAAAAAAATTACTGGAACACGGAATTTTGGGTAATGAATTCTCAGAAATGAACAGGAAATTTATTCATTTTTTAAAAACAGGATTCAACGAATTGGTGGCAATTTGAAAAGGATGAGAAATTTTAATAAATTTTCAAAAATGCGAGGTGGTTGAAAAATATCAGCGCTGCCATTTTCCTGGATACTCCCGCCATCTGGCGAGGGGTTTCCAAGATGGCGGTGCTCTCACCTCGGATTTTTAAATGATTATTACAATGAATTATCTTATTCAAATGATCTGGAAGTGATTTTATCCTGTTCCTCTAAACTGAACATTTTTCGGAGCCATTCTGCAGATATTTCCATTTTTTTTTTTGGCTGAGAACTCGTCGCATTCCGGTAGTTTTTTTTCATCCCGAGCCCTCATGAATAATTAATCAAGTATCATTTTTCATTGATATATTTGAAATTGAACTGCTTTTGCGATGCTTTAGAGTACACTCAGTGTTAAAAAAAAAATTCCAAAAATGGTGAATTTAAAATTGTGCGATGTAATTGCCCTTCGTCGCACCTCTTAGAAAATTTTAATCATGAATAATTCAGATGTTTAATATCTCATCGCATCGGTATTAATGTCCCACGGACATGGAGTTCTTTAATCATAAACTCATAAAATATAATGTACAGTGAAAAATGGTTTTTTTACACGAGTTGATAATTACAATGTTTGGGGGCAATTTTAATGGTTTTTATAGGAAATAATTTTACGCATCTAGGGTTAGTCAAGTGGCATCAAACGTTTAATAGTTCAATACATATCATTAAGAATAATTCGATGGGGAAAATTGGAATTTTTGCTGTTGATGGGAATATTCGAATAATCCCTCAACTGAAAAAATTCATTAAAAAAATAATAAAACAATGAAGTAAGTATATGAAAAACGAAGAAAGTGCATATGAATGAAAAAAAAACGATATTAATAATTTATTACACTTTTACCGTATAAATAGATATTTCATATATTATATATATTATATATATACAAGAACATATTAAAGAAGTGGAAGTTTTATTAAAATTATATTGTAAAGATAAATTGAAATATGAGGAGAATACATATCGGGGTATGGAACAGACAGTATTTTAAGCATAGGCTCTCTAGTCCCATTCAATTCATTCAAAATTATTAATAATTTTTGCTGATTTACTCCTCCAGATGATCATAAAACGACAAAACAAAAATACAAAAGTAACAAAAAATGATAAGTAAAAATGCAAATTTATCAATTGGATTTTTATTATTTTTGTATTCAAACGATTAAATGAATTATTCATCAGAAATTCACTAAAATTTATCGAGATATATGTGTAACTTACGCGAAATACCAAGTGAAAGATAAAAGAGTTAAAATCGCTTTTTAAACTTTGCTCTTGAATAATCCAAATAGAATAATAAAAAAAAATGTAGAGGATATGAAAAGCAATGGACGATACGCCGTAAAATGTGGCTGACTTTAATCCTGTAATTCCCGTACAGTTTTTATCGCATTTTAAGTATTGTCGAGAGATTCCCGTTTGTATTGATAAATATAATACGGTTTGGATTATTTTAATTACAAATTTAGGGAAATGTCAGATGTGAAAAAAGTTGTGATTCGAAGACGAAAAAAAAAACAGAAAAAAAATGGACGAAATGAGAGAATTATAAATAAAAAAATTATTTGAGGAAGAAAAATTGTTTCTCTTATGAGCATTTTTGACCTTTCAGTCACTCATTTCTCTATTTCTTTTTTTATTCTCGCCCGTTTTTATTTCCGTTTATTTTTCATCATTTATGTTCTTGATGAAATTTTTTTTCCAACTTTTTATATATTTATTTATACATTGATGTATATTGCGTATATTTAGCTTTCGATGCAGATTTATTTTCACCTGATCAATTTATTTTTCTCCGGGTATAAAATTGAGATAGAAATCAGGGTATGCGAAAATCCACTTGACTCTCTTGTTTCCCGTTTCCCCTCTTCATTCTTTTTTACTCTCCCTCGCTCATTTTATTTTTACTTTTTTTTTTTGTGGGGTCCCTATCGTGTCTCGCGTGTGTCACGCTCTCACTTGAGAGGACGACACGACGCAATCGATATAACTAGCGCAGACTCGTGAGAAATCATGTTCAACTATATTAAAATGAATATAAGAGAAAATATCAGGTGGAGATTTCGGGAGCTGGGGTGGAATGTCAGTGGCTTTGATGGATAGGTCAGTAAATTCACATTGAGTTGTTGTCTAGTTGTAGAAAATCTAAAAGCCTCATTCAAAACTCATTGTTTATTGAGTTTATACCGTTATAAAAAATTGATCAGTCTAAATATTTCTGAAGAATTTGTTGAAAAAAATTTTTCGAACGAAATTCTATTTTTATTTATTTTATTATTATTATATATTTTATTATATTTTTATTTTTTTATTTTATTAACGAAACGGGAATATGCATGCATTTGCAAATTAACATGTGACATGAATTTGTTGATAATCAAATTACAACAATTCCAAATTGCCTCGTTACACCGGTCCCCGGAGATTTCACTGGTAATCGAAAATAAATAACGAGAGAATTTATTTTCCCACGCGTTCTCAGGGGACACCGGCCATTATTAATATCAGGGAAATAGTCAGTTGTAAATAAAATACTGAGTGACAATGTTTAAGTGGAAAAAAAAAAAATTCTGATCTTTCCGATCTTTTCTGTCAAACGGAAATTTTTAATCCATTGATCGTGATTTTTTTTTTGGTCTCGCAATTACTTTAACGCGGATAATTACGATTCCCGTTGTACCGCACGTAAATAATTATCGTCGTTATCTTTGTTATCATTATTTTTCGGTTTGCGTAGTAGTCGGGTAATTGGTCCGGTTGTTTGGAGAGTAAAATTATTAATAAAACAGGATATCGAGGAAAACATTGTGATCGATGGACAATACATCTGATCGCGTGTCCGAGGGTTAATGTCATGTGGTTTATTTAAAAATTAATGAGGAAATAATTCATTGGGTGATAAATACAGGAATGAATCTTTGAACACCGGAATAAATTGTTTCACTTCAATTACTCACTATCCGATTAATTAATTTTGCTCTCGTCAATCGGAGAATTCTCTTCTTGAATTATTATGCGTTTGTTTATAGTCCGATTGTTTATTTAATATTGACAAAAATTTCATGTTTTGATGGTTTTGTTGATTTTTTTAATTAATGTTTATTTTTTGAGTTGGAAATTTTTTTCTGTTTCGATAATTATTTTTGTTTATTGAAAAATTTAATTCGTTATCGATGGGAATTTTTCTTTCAGAGTGGATGGAAATGTTTTTTTTTCTTTTTTTGAGTGTTGATTTTGGAGGAGTGGAGAATCGAGGGTTTTGGGACGGGAAATTTTCAGGAATTCTTTCATCTTTTTGCTGCACCAGGCACCATTTTCGATTGACCGGCTATCGCACGATGGGATTCAACGCATGCGCAGGTATTTATAAAAATTCATTAAGATCTCCCCCATCAAATAAACGCCTCAAACACTTTTCATCCTCTGAATCGATTTTAAAACCCCGAACAGATCTAAATGAATAAAAAAAAATCTTGGAAAAATAGGACCCGGCCAAAAAATTATCCCGGTCGACAAATTATCACCTGTAGTTACCTACCTTACCGACGGGTGGTAATGTCGGAAATTTCTTTTTAAAAACACTTATTTATGAAATGTTTGATTTTGCGTTATATTTTCTAGAGCAGCTCCTGAACAAATTTTTGTGCACTAAATTTTCGTTTCCCAATTTCCTCTGAAAATCAAAAAAACATTGTCTTTAATCGGATGAGAATGCGGGATCATTTCAATTGATGCTCGGAAAAAAAAATCTTGCTTTGAAAATAAAAAAAAACTGAAAATTCCTATTTCTGGGCAGAAATATTCGCTCACGTCTTCGTCACCTCTTCAGTATTCTCTGGTGTCCCCTTCGCGTCACCTCAACGAAAAAAAAAAAAAAAACCCATTCAATCGTATTTCTCAGCAATTCCCTTTCCCAAAAAAAAATAAAATTGGGGAGAGTGGGGGTGAGGGGGTGGATAAAAAAAAATTAAAATCTCTGTAGGCGTAAAATGGACGGAAAAATCGCCGAAAAAATATAGATTCCCCATTTTTTCCAATATAAATGGGCATAACCCGTTCGATCCAAGCTTGACCTCACACTGTGGAACCATTCAAATTTTTTTTATTCTTTTTCATTCTTTTTTTTGTTTTTTTTTCGGGGGAACCACTCGCTACTGCAGCTGTGGCCAATCGACACGAGAAACAGTTCGGAAGTTCCCGCGCCTTCGACCGGACACAGAAAACACGTACGTCTTCCTCATTTATTACCGGACCTTTCAAGGGACTTGGAACCATTGTCACGTGCCTGGTAAGTATTTTTTTTACTTGAATGTACCGTTATTAGAGGAATATTCAGTAGAAAATGTGCAACTCGCGATCGAAAATTTTTTAAATCCCTTCAGTCCGTTTGTTTTATTCACTCTGGTTTACATATTTTTTTTTATTGATAGCCACATGGCTGTATTTGTTGTCATTCGATTCGTATTGCACAATTTCTACGAATTTACATGAATTACTCAATTAATCTGACACGATAAAAAAAGAAGTCCATTTTCCACGCTTCCCGTTCTAAGGGAATATCTCGGAATCGAAGGAAAATGGCGATTTTCTCATAATCACCTTTTTTGTAGATCTCATATTTTTCTTTGAAAAATGTTTATACAAAAATATCGATATTTTCCCTCAATCCGGAGATATTGGGTAAAAAGACTCGAAAAAAGTGGAGCTCTGAAAATTTGAGGCAATTATCATTTCGTTGATTAGAAAAATCCGGAAAAATCTGGAAATTCGTGGAAATCGGTGGCCATTGATCTCCAAAAATGTCCTAGAGGTTGAGGAATGAGTGGAAAAATGGAAAGGGAGTTGAAAGGGTGCTTGAAATTTTAATAATAATTTGTGGCCGATGGAGTCCGGTTTCTCTGACACGCATGATGTACGTACTCTCGCTCTTAAAGAGAGAAAAAAAAAGTATCCCTTATTCCATTGAGTCTTTACCGTTACCAAACGCCTCTTAAACCACCTCTTAACTCTTATCCGTCGTCCTGATTATTTAATGAGGCCGAAAAACACATTAAAAATGATTTTAACGTCACAACAAAATTCATTTTAAAACGGAGAAGAAAAAAAAAACCAGCTCATGAATATTTTCCACACCTTGAATTTTCCTTTCATCTTTCATCACCTGTGGAGCAAAAGTTGTAAAATTCTCTTGTAAAAACCAAAGGAGAATGGACTTTTTTTTTATTTTATCCTTTTAGCTAAACATTTTGTGCTATTGATCTCTGAATTTTCTCCGGGGTTCAATACCTCGGCGAAGGTGAACGAGATTTAAATGATTTCTCATCCTTATTCGATGGTGGATGCGAGTAAAAAAAATTCATGAATGCTAATGCTGCTTGGGAGAAAAAAAAACCGGACCACCCGATCGTAAATAAATCAGTGGGAGTTAAGAGGATGATGTGTAAATTAGAATTGGTATTCCAGTGTGAATCTTTGAAAATACTATTTCGGGGAAATCTAGTCGTGATCGAACACTCGTGGTAATCAATAGGCACTTCACATTCCGTGAAATAGAAGAATAACAATTTCTCTCTCAATGGTTTTTATTTTTTTTTTTCGCTTTTCGCATGGGGATCACATATTTCTATTCTGCAATTCTCTTGTTCTCTCGATCACGTACCGAGTGTCAAGGCACAACTGTTACCAAACCACGCAATCAATTATGTAAAAGAATTGAATCGGGGTGAAAAATATTTTTCATTGGGAATGGAGTAATTGGGAAGAAAATAGCGCAAATTCTCGGGCTCGAAACGAAGTGATGAAGTGAGAATGAAACAGTTCGGGTAATTATCGATTGATCTAGGGCAACTATTGATTTTAGGAGGAAACGTCAAAAGACATTTTTTTTTTGAAATTTCATTAGCTCAAAAAATGTTATTTGACGATTTCACCGGAGATCGATGGCTTTCGGGATAAACCGGTGATTACAAAAAATTGTAAATTGGTGTAATTTCATTTCATCGCTTTGTTAATTATTTTATATGTCTCGAATAAAAATTCCAGTGGTGGTCTTTCTAATGGTATTATAATTTATAATTTATTATAATTTATGACACCACCCGATGGATTAATAAATCAGATAAAATCATTCAGTCGTCTTGCTAGGATTTATAACATCGACGAAATATTTTCGGAGGCAGTCTATGGTCCGAAGTCATGAAGCGAGGATGGATCTTGTCCGGGTGGATTTACTTAATTCTACAGGTGAGAATTTCCAACATTTTTTGTATTCATAAAAAAATTATTGTCTCTCTGAAAAAAAATCAGGGAAGTGGTGCAGTTTGAAAAATCGAATTTTCCAGTGTTGTGGATTGTATTGAGATTTTATTTTTAAAATAAATACAGGTGATTGAGGTAACGAGTCATGGACGTCTCATGGATCCTCCAGCTAGAAATAGCATGTGGCGATTTGGCTTTCCAAATCCAGTGAATTACAACGACAACGAGCTGTTCTGCGGCGGCTATGCCGGTGAGTAAAAAAAATAATAATAAAAAATAAACAGAAATGAGAATAATGAGGGTTAACTGGGAAATAAAATTGCATGTGATATTGACGTACTGATGGATTCGGGGATGGGGTGAAGCTAATTTTCGTAACTTAATGAGGTATCGTAAAGCGAGATTTTGTGATATTTTTTTATAGTTCAGTGGGTGCAGAATGAAGGCCAATGTGGAATATGCGGTGATGCTTATCATTTGAAAGAACCAAGACCTCATGAAGCCGGTGGAGAATTCGCTAAGGGCACCATTACGAGACATTACACTGCAGGACAGGTAATTGTTTTTTGAGTTCCTCGAATTATTGACGTGTCTTATTCATTATTGGTATTATTTGTGTAACTAAAGACGAACTGGCCCTTTTTTAGGAGATAGACATTGAGATTGAATTGACAGCTAATCATCAAGGCCACTTCGAGTTGTACCTTTGCCCCAACAACAATCCAAGGCTTCCAGCGACTCAAGACTGCTTCACCAATTATCCACTGTACCTTGCTGGTACGCAAGAAGTGAAATTCGTAATACCAGAGGACAGTGATAAAAAAGCTGTTTTTCGGTACAGAGTCGCATTACCGAATTACCTCACCTGCTCTCAATGCGTAATTCAGTGGAATTATTATACAGGTAAATTTCAATATACCCCGCCCCAACGAAAAGCCCCAAATAACCACTTGCAAATTAGTGAAAGTACAAGGCTACAAAAGTGCAACAATCGAATGGACATTTTTTTTATATTTATCTTTTATTTTTTTTATTTCAGGAAATATGTGGGGCACATGTGCCAATGGGACTGAAGCCGTTGGTTGTGGCAGACCCGAGACCTTCAGAAATTGCGCCGATGTTAATATTGTCACCAGCACTGGCGCTGTACCACCTGCATTTGTTCATCAGCAGGACAATCCGTTTGTTCTTTACTATCAGGATTACAGATTGGAGAATCAGGTTGTACCGCTTATTATCAGATCGCAGCTGTGTGTACCACATAATCAGTACAGATTTATACCTGGTATGGATAATTGGTGTCAGACCAATTGTTTGAGGTATCCACCTCATTGCCCAATGGATATATGCACTTGTCCGTAAGTTATCGATTGTTATATTATTTTATTTTTTTTTTTGAAGATTTATCAATTTATATGTAATAAAGGTTAAATTATGGTGAAGTTATGGAATTTAGAAGACTAAAATTTTTTAATTACCCGGGGGTTTCCTGATTTGTGACGTCATAAAAAAAATCGGTCACGTGACCAGAAGTGACGTCATAAAAAAATCGGTCACGTGACCGGAAGTGACGTCATAAAAAAAATCGGTCACGTGACCAGATGTGACGTCATCAGCAAAAGAAGTCACGTGACCGAAAGTGACGTCATCAAAAATTCGGTCACGTGACCGGATGTGACGTCATCAGCAAAAGAAGTCACGTGACCGGAAGTGACGTCATAAAAAAATCGGTCACGTGACCGGATGTGACGTCATCAGCAAAAGAAGTCACGTGACCGGATGTGACGTCATCAGCAAAAGAAGTCACGTGACCGGAAGTGACGTCATAAAAACATTCGGTCACGTGACCGGAAGTGACGTCATCAAAAATTTTGGTCACGTGACCGGAAGTGACGTCAT